ATTTATTATAAGAAGTATGGGTTTACATAAAGAAAGAATCGGAATTGATCGATAGATTTCTCGAAACAAACGAAAAGGAAACGAAAGATGAAACATAAATCATGGATCAACTAAGCCCTCTCGGGGACTTTCTTAAAGAGGAACCTCATGTAAATACCATGGAATAAGGTTTGATCTTGATACTATTCCATTCCAAAAATGGAAAGTTCGACACAATTGGGATTTTTTTTTGAAATTGGATGCAGTTACTAATTCATGATCTGGCATGTACAGAATGAAAACTTCATTCTCGATTCTACGAGAATTTTTATGAAAGCCTTTCATTTGCTTCTCTTCGATGGAAGTTTGATTTTCCCAGAATGTATCCTAATTTTTGGTCTAATTCTTCTTCTGATGATTGATTCAACCTCTGATCAAAAAGATATACCTTGGTTATATTTCATCTCTTCAACAAGTTTAGTAATGAGCATAACGGCCCTATTGTTCCGATGGAGAGAAGAACCTATGATTAGCTTTTCGGGAAATTTCCAAACGAACAATTTCAACGAAATCTTTCAATTTCTTATTTTACTATGTTCAACTCTATGTATTCCTCTATCCGTAGAGTACATTGAATGTACAGAAATGGCTATAACAGAGTTTCTCTTATTCGTATTAACAGCTACTCTAGGAGGAATGTTTTTATGCGGTGCTAACGATTTAATAACTATCTTTGTAGTATTATAGCTCTGGATAATTTTTGTTTCTTCACAGATACTTGTTGGTTATCGGTGATTTATATATATGGTTGGTTCAAGCATCTAGTCATATATGATCCAATTAATATATATTATTGTGTCTTTAATTTGATTTTCTATTTCTAATTAATGTATATTTTGGTGCATGTAGGTTGCTTTGGATGATGAGTTTCATGTGTGATGCAGTTTCAAGTATGAATGAGCCTGAGCTTACTTTTGAGTTTTTAGTCTAGATTTTAGAATAATAGGTAATCATCTTTTTTGATAGAAAATTTATGTTGCTACTCGATATTTTAGGTTTATGTTCAAGAATTCTGAATTGATCCTATTAGATAGTCTTTGGGAGATTTGTTTTAGTTTTTATGAATAGTTTTTCAAGTTTTTTTAAAATACTATTGTTTTGACTATTCATTTGATGAAATGCAGATGAAACTTATGAATGCTGTTTAGCAATTAATTTTATTTTTATTTATAAAATATTGCTTTGCATTAATTTTCTACCGTTTAGTTAGTATGAAGGTGTACTAAGAATTAGTTAGGATACTTGTGTATATTATAATTTTTAGTGTCCTAAAATGATTGTTAGGACATGTGTAATTGTCTTAAAAAGCCAATTCAACTTTGAAACAAATGTCCCCAGAAAAGTTTTATGAGGCAAATAGCGATGCCCGTATAAGTATAAATATATATATATATATATATATATATATATAAAGACACTTATAAAAATATCCCATTATTCTTTTTTACGGACATATATAAATATCCTCATATTAAAGTAAGTGTTCCATAAAAAAATTGTACATAAATATTAACATTCTTATAAGGCTTATATGTGTGCCTCAAAACTACTTTATCGAGACACATATAAAAGTCTTGAAAGGAAAATTCTATTGGGACAGGAAAATTCTGTTGGGACGTATAAATGATGCCTCACGAGCTAACACAACAAATAACTATGCGACATATGTTTTAAATGCCCCTAGAAGTAAAAGTGCCTCAAAATGGTATATATTGAGACATATGTATACATCTCGAAAAGGCATTTTTGTTGTAGTGTGGGATTTTTCGTAAAAAGAATTGAAACTCAGTAGTTTTATCAAAGTGGATGTTCTTATTTTCCAAAGTTTATGAAAGTTTCTGAAAATTTTCGAAAGCTTTTGAAATTTTAAAATAGTGTGTTTCCTGAAATTTTTGAAATTCAGAAATTTTCTTAACTTTTGGAATCAAATTGAATTTTTAGATTACAAAAATTTTGGATGTGAAATCGAAACTGGAATTAGAATTGGTATTATTCTTCTGTAAAAGTTCAAAATTTTCTGAGGAGGTTAATTAAGATTCATCCATCTGACGTTCTCCCCTAGTCCCGAGAATGCTGAAATCATATGTTTGAAATTTTCAATCAAGTTGCCAAAAATGTCAACTCAAGTTTTAGAGAAGAAAAAAATAAATATTATAATATTTGATTGGGGCATGCTAAATCCCACACTAAAATTTACTAAATCCCACACATAATTTAAAAAAAAAAATCTCTTTCTACTTATATTCTTTCTAACTTTTTTCTATGATGATTTTTTCCAAGTCACTCAAAATTCGTTAATCTTTCACGTGAATAGTCATAAAAAGTGAGTTTAGGTTTATTTAATATTTTTCAATTTCATTATGCCGCTTTAATTATTTAAATTCATATCAATTCAAAACATATTCTCAAATTCAAACTTCATTTTAGTTTGAACACATGAAGATTTTTCTCAAATTTGAACTTGGAATAATATGGACGTTTTTAGTGTGTGATTTTGTGAAAATGTTATGGAAAAAGAAGAAGGGTGAGGAAGGAGAAGATGAGATTTTAGAGAGAGAGAAAAATTCAATTGTGTGTATGATTTGGTAAAATTGGTGTGGGATTTAGCATATCAGTATTTGATTATATCCCCATAACTGATGCAACTAACTTTATCCAAAACCATGAGTTTTGACTTATTTACCATATTATTGTTAGTAGACTCTTTGACATTGTAGAATATTATTGTGCCACTTTTGTTATTAATTTATTTTTTGGAAAGAATATTATATTAGTTAAACTATTCGCTTGCCACTTATGACGGACGCAATTTATACACACGCGTTTTCAGGTTTGGAAAACAAAAACTTCATGACAATTGTCGGAAATTTTTGGGGCTGTTTTTGTAAATATTTAAAAGTTTCAAGGACGTTTCTGGTAGTAATGAAAAAATGGAAACGCGATTCCACCAAAAAAATTCCAAAACCCATTTCAAATATAAACTCGAAAAAGATTCCGTGAAAAATCACACCATAAGGGGTTGGTGTAAAAAGGAAAATAAACGTTGGAGATAGGTAATTGCAGATAGGTGAGGGCATTTTTCGTAATTTAATCTAGGGGTGAGCAAAAAAACCGAACCGAAAACCGAAAAAACCGAGCCGATATGTACCGTCCCGACTTAAAACCGCATATACGGTAATTTTTTTTTGAAAAACCGAAAATATCGGTTTGTGTACGGAGAATTTAAAAATTACCGAACCGATTTCCCGAACCGAACCGATTTATACAAAATGATGTATTTTTGATATATATTATAAATACTTATCCTAGCGTGCCTCTATCTTTCGAGCGCCTCCATGTGACATCTTTTTCTATTAATTAATTTTGGTTGTGACGTGTTTTTTATTAGTTATTCTCGGTTGTATTTGTAATTT